ATGTACATTTATAATCTCTAGGGAAACCACTAAAAAGTAAAAGTGTATAAATCTGATTGATTCCAAAGAAATCAAGATAGGAATCAATAAAATATAAAACATACATACACAATAAATTTCATATACAATATAGGAAGTAAACAAATCTAATTGCTGGTCCTTTGAAAAAAAAATTGATAAACCCCAGCAAGATTCTTCAAGAAGAATCCAAGCTTGGTTTGACATTTAAAACTTAATTAATTAATTCACCACATTATTAAATTTAAAAAGGAAAACCAGGTGTAATCATTTTAATGGGTTCACAAAAAGTATATGGTTAAATTCAACATTAATATATTTAAAAAATATTTTGGCAGCCTATGCACATATTCTGATAAGGAGTATGATCCCCCCTAAGAAATCTACAATTATTCTTAATCTATATAATTCTTGATTCTTAGAAATTAAAAGCATTTCCTTTATAATATGGTACAAAAGAATGTCTTCTTCGGTCATTTCTAATCATCCCTACACTGGTGAGCCCATCTAGAACCCCCTAAATATGATAAAATAAAATAAAATTTTAGAATTGAGTGAAAGAAACTGTTACTATTTGTAGATAATATATTTGGATAATAGAAAACTAAAAGAAACTACAAATATATTACTAGAAAAAAGTTTTTAAAAAAAGAAAGTTTAGCAAAGCTGTGGGTTATGTTCAAAATATAAAAGTCGATTTTATTTTTATATTCTTTTACAGTTGAAAAAATAAATACTAAAGTGCCTAGAAAAATACAGCTAACAAAAGCTGTGAAGACTTCTAGAGAAGAAAATGATAAAGTTTTATTGAAAGAAATTAAAGAGGACCTAAATAAATGATATATATTATATTCATGGGTTGATAACCTTTAGTTATGATACCAAAATCAAACATCTCCCAAGTGATTTAAAGATTAAATGTAGAAAACTCCGCAGGTTTTTGGTGGAAATTAAGCTGTTTCAAAAATTTTGCAGAAGAGTGAAAGCCAGTAATAACCAAGACACCCCTGACAAACAAGGTGGAGAAACTTGGAGTATCATATATCAAGATATAAACACTGTAGTAATTAAGACATTGATTATTAGCATAGACACAAATGGTATAATATTAGAGATTCCTGAAATAGCTTGACACATACATGGAATGTGGTGTATATATATAAAACAGGTAGCATGGTAGATCAATTAGAAGAGAATGTTCAATAAAAAGTGTTCAGTGAGTTGATGATTCATGTAAGAAAAAAAATCAGATTGAGATTGGATTCACATCATGCACCAAAAAAATCAGTGTCAGGTAAAGACCTAAATACAAAAGGCAAAACCTTAAAACTTTAAGTAGGGGGAAAAAAGTGGAAGTGTATCTTTTGACTTTAGGGTAGGGAAAGACTTCTCATACAGACACAAAGTGCGAACTATATGTAAAGGAAACATTTGTTAACATCTGTTGATGAAAAGACATTGCAAAGAAAGTAAAAAGAGAAGAACAGACAGAGAGCACTGTATAGAACCTACAAAGGATTTGTAATTTTCTAGAGTGTGTAAAAAAAACATTAAAAATCAGTGTGAAAAAGACATTCCAAGAGAAAAATCAGCAAAATATGTATTTCCCAAAAGAAGGAAAACTGAATGACCAATTTTAGGTATGAAAAGGTGGTCAACTTGTAAGCAGAACAATGCAAGTTTCAACCATGAGATAATATTTGTATGCTCTGAGATTTGCAGAAGTAAAATCTGACAATATGCCTGTTGGCATGAATCTAAAGCAGTTAGAGCCAAGGTCTGCTTGGTTGGAGTGTAAATTTAGGTAAGACTACTTTGTAATACAATATATCATCTGGTGAAGTTGAATCTGTGCACTCATAGGTTTCTTTAACCTAGCATTTCCATTTCTAGCAGTATACTCCAGAGAAATTCTTATGGCCATGTACCAGGAGACAAATAAGATATTCATACTAGCATTGTTCATAATAATAAAAAGAAATACTCTAGATATTTATAAACAGGAGAATTATGCATTGCATGTACATAATACAGCAAGCAGATACATTAACAGTATTCTGTCTATATACATTTTAAAGCATACAGATTTTAAAACGTTATATAGAATTACATATGTTTATGTGGAAAAACTAAATTAAGGAAACGATAAAATTAAAGTTCAAGATAGCAGCGACTTCTGGAGGTATGAGAGAAAATATGTGATTAAGGAGGCACACTGTGTTAGCTAAGATACAGGTTCAGCTGCATTTGACAGAAACCCACATAGTGACATAAGCAAGACACAAGTTTGTCTTGTAACAGGTTGAAAATATCCTAGGCATGACAATTAGGTTCTACATGGTTATCTAGGAGCCAGGCTCCTCCTCTTTGGAGCTCTTTATCCACATGGTTATGGTGTCTCACCACCAGTTACATTTCATGTGTAATGTGGAAGAATGGAGGAGTAAGTGACCTTAAAAAGGAAGTTGCACTTACGACTTCTCTTCATGGTCTTCTGGATAGACTGTATCTATTGTATAGTAATTTTCAGATCCAAGGAGACTTGAAAAATGTGCCTAGCTGAAAATCAGGAGTTGTAGAAGAGAGAGAATGAGAGCACAGGTATTGGGAAGAAAGTAGCAGTTTCTGCCACAGGTTCATGCGGCTAGGACAGGAGGGGGAAAACAGAATGATCTTGGTACTGTTCTGTTTCTTGAAATAGGATGGTGAGTATAGTTGTCTTTTTAAAATTTTATGCCTTCCCTATAAATTATATACTTTCGTATATATGAAATGTTTCATTATTAAAGCTAAAAAGCTTAGTGGATACTTTTTAGCTTTATTTTGCTTGAATCTTATGTAGCATATGGTACTGTTGATCACACCCTCTAGACATATGAATTTTTATTGGCAAGAATCTCCTGGTCTTTCTCTTATTTTTCCATCCATTCCTTTTCAGCCTCCTGGGCTTCACTTTCTCTGCAGGGAACAAAAAGGCCTTTTCCTAGATGCCCCTCACTTGTCTCCATAATTATTTAGGATAGTTTCAAATTGGCTAATGGGTTTCCTGGATTTGGAAAAATTTCAAGAGAAAACTAATTATATGGTAAATATTCAGATTTTATCACCTTTTATTCATAATGCTCTATCCATATATGGAAAAGGGAGGTTAGCACATTTTTTTCTTTGTAATTTTAAGTATTTTTTATACCTTTCTGAAGTACATCATAAAAGGGTAAATAATTCTAGAGTGAGTCCAGAGTACCAGCATATCTTGTAAAGGTAAGAAACAGCAACTGTTCTCATAAGTATATACATAAAACATCATTAGAATAAATCTTGGAAATGACTCACATTATTATAATCATGTATAAATGTGGTATCTTTTTATAAAAACTCAGCAGTTTATTTGACCTCCCAAAATGACTGCATTTCCTAACCCTCCTTGACCTAGGGCTTGGCTAGTGGAATGTGAGCAGAAGTCACTACATGATAAATTTTGGCATATATTAACAGGAACTATTTTTTTCCCCAGTGAGGTAATCTCAGGCAAACATGCATTTGAGAATTTGTATTCACTTAAATTTTTATTAAGGCAAATAAGATTAAATTCAGTTAGTTAGCGTTCAAGTTTCAACCATGTGTCAGGGACTGTGTCAGGTTTCTGGGAATACAGGATTGAACAAATACTAATCCCAACCTTCAAGGAGCTAATAATAGTAGTCCAGAGGAAGTCTAGTTGAATGCTATGATAGATATGCCTAAGGTGCTATGGAAACAGAAATTGCCAAGGTTAGCGAGGAATCTCAAACTCAAGAAAGTTGACAAACCTAATGTAAGTTTATAAAATAAAAGCATTTAAAAATAGGATCTAAAGATCTTTGTTGTTATAAGCATTTTAAATATCAGTTAGATTAAAAAACAAAATGAGTCCAAATGTTATTACAGGAGGTAGAGGCTAAGGGGGAGGGAAGGAGTATAAATGAGCTCTGTTAATTTTTAAAATATTTTATCTATTGTTTAGATCTTTTTTGTATACTAATTTTATAACCATAAAGTATAATTTAAAATCCAGGGTTTTTAAAAAAAGATTTTATTTATTTTTTAACAGAGAGATACAGTGAGAGAGGGAACAGAAGCAGGGGAAGTGGGAGAGGGAGAAGCAGGCCTCCTGCTGTGCAGGGACCCCCCCCCCCACCCCATTGTGGGCCTGGAGCCCAATGGGGGGCTGGAGCCCAATGTGGGGCTCGATCCCAGGATGCTGGTATCATGACCTGAGCCGAAAGCAGACGCTTAACAACTGAGCCACCCAGGTGCCCCTAAAATCCAGTTTTTAAACAGAATATGTATTTCTTAATATAGCAACATAGCTTTTTTTGATTTAGCAATGTGGTTTTCTTAAAATTCCTGGACTCAAATCTTAACTTTATTTTCAGAAACACAAACTCATGTAGCATATAGTGTGTGTTTTATCTTTTTTAATGTATTAAGTTTTACTTAGTATAAACATGTACCGTGCTCGTAGTACTTCACAATAATTCCAGTGTAGACATTGTCTGGCATTGGAATTTAAGGCAGGGATTCAAGTTTCATTCACTGACTGTAACAGATTGCAAGGAAGAAAACAGTTTGCACAATTCTTAATCTTAACGTAGCACCTGCTCTTAGCAGTTCTCACCATTGTGGCATATAGCTATTTTCTTTTAACCCAACATTCCTCAAACTCATTTCTCTTTCTTTTGATTTCATAAGCTGAGGGGAAGACCCGTTTTCACAGACATTGCTCTTCTTTTTGAAAATCTGAAAAGAGATTAGTGAAATCTCATCACATTCATGGTCTTTAATAACCTCTCTTAAACCCTTTTCATTTTCAAGCTTTTTCTCTAAGGTGACTTATTAAGCCAGGACTTGCTAGTGTCATTCAGATACTGTACTCTGTAACTAGTGTACCCTCTCTGATTCAGTTTTTAAGCAAAAATGAAGTCTTTTTTTTTTCTTTGCAGACTTTGCCTTCAAAAGAAACGTTTTTAAACACCACACAAATGCCTTGCTTGCAATCAGCTTCAACTTGGAGGAGCTGTGAACACAATTCAGAATCTCAGATCTTAAGAGAACATGTATCAGAATTGGACTCCTCTTTCCATTCTGTCCTATCATTGCCATCAGGTAAGCCTACTTATAAAAAAAAAAATTCCAAGTAAACTCTGAATATTTTCTGTGGTGAAGTCTAATCCTATAGATACAAGGAATCTAGAATAAGATTTTATCAATTATTTTGCCACTGGATATTAGAACTAAACAGTTTTCATAGAGATATTAATCCTGTGAGTTAATGTTCCGTTTTTGCAAGTTGATTCTTAAATTCATTGGAAACCATTTTGAGTTATATTGGGAAATAATTAACTTTTGATCTTTTCATTGTTAAATTTTTAGAATTTTATTGATAAAGTGACTATGCTGTTGAAATGTTTCTCAGTAAATCGGTTTTATTTTTCCCCCTAATGTGTTGGCTTGCACGGATTTTTCTCTGCTATATAATATTCCTCTGCTTATACTCAGCATTGAGTTTCCTCAGATAAGAAATTGCCCATCTTTAGGTATATCATCTTTTGAACCTCGAGAGAATCTATAATCTATAACTGAGTGAATGAGGCACATACAGCCCCATACCCCTTTAAGTTTCTAGTTCTTGGTTTATGTTGGAACTGTTCTGGTTGTTTCTGTTTTTCTTTTTCTTTTTCAAGTTTTTTTTTTTGTTTGGTTTGGTTGGGTTTTTGTTTAATAATCTCTATGCGCAGTGCCCCCCCCACTCAAACTCAAACCCCAAGGTCAAGAGTTGGATGCTCTTCTGAGCCAGCCAGTCACCCCTCCAGTTGTTTCTATATTGAAATGAAGTAAATACGAGGGTCAGAAAAGAAACAGTCTTCACACTGGTTATCTCAGGTTCTTCTCTTCAAGGGAAGACATCTCAGATGGGCTTTTGTTTCCTTTCCAGCTTTTTTTCCCATCATCCAGGGACTGCTCCTTTTTGTAAAGCACTATTTTCTGTACCTGTTCCTGCCCTGAATCCTGAATCTTAGTTTATTTTTTTTACCATTATTCGAGTGGTTCCTTAGCTACACCATACTTAGAATTAAGTTCCTGACAGGAACTATGGTATTCTGTCTTTAAGGAAAGCTTAATAATAGAAACAAACAGTGATAAGTATAACAGTGGTAACGCAGCTAACATTTGGGCTTAGCATACCTGTAAGCACATTACATTTTCTTGTATAATTCTTCCATCATATTTATCTTCATATTTTCCTATCTTACATATAAAAAAGTGAGGCTTAGAGATGTTTTCATCTCTATTTTCATATTTTCCTCTTTATCTTACATACAAAAAAACTGAGGCTTAGAGATGTTAAATTATTATTCCAAGATTATACAGCTAGTAAATGAAGGAGGCAGGATTTGATGTGAGGTAGACGTACTCCAGAGCCACACTCTAACCTTTACTCTTCACCGTCTGTTTTCTCCTGCTGCATTTATTTCTCTGAAGATATAACCCTGAGAGCTGGCATAATTACCCTTCACTTAATCCTCTTATGTCCCTTCCAATAAGTTAAGATTAACTTCCCCATCTAGTAATTGGGTTATTCATTTCTTCTTGCATTCATTTAACAAAAATCACCTACTATTTACGAAGTACTAAGAGTATAAATACAAATAAATCCCTCAAAGTACTTGCATTCTCATTTGAGATAACTGAAATGTAAACTAGTAAGTGTATTAAAATGTTATGAAATATTCTTATAAAACCCCAAAGGTCAGAATGTGGGGACTAAGGAAGGTATATGGGTGGAACAAGGTTCTTCACTAGTTACATCATGTTTTCTCACAACTCATGAAGAACAGTGGTAGAATAGGTGATATTTACTTTATAATAGTAAGTGATATTTCTTTGGAGAAATAAACTTATGTTTTAGTAATTGGAAAATATTGGATTCCTGAAATGTTTAAATAACATATTTGATTTGTAATCTTAGTTTCATTTTTGTACAGTCATAGTATAGTAGTGCTAGGATTGAAATCTTTCCTACCTCTGTTCTGGCCCTTTGGAGGACACTCCATGTTGAAACGCATGAACCTTTTTTTTTTTTTTTTTTTTTTTGGTATATTTTTCCTCACTTGAGTTGGATCTATTATTAAAATATTTAAGGGAGAGAGACTTTTTGTTTAAAATCCAGACCTGTTTTGGGTATGTTCTGATTTATGCGTTCATAATTAGTGTTTTTTCCAGTAGCAAAACTTTCAATATAGCAACTGCTTTATAAAATATTTCTTGTTGTTTCTTAGGGAGAAGTTTAGGTGTCTCTATTAAATACTTTTGAAGATGGTTTTGTTTTTGTATTCTTGATTGAGGAAGAAAAACTTTAATAAATGTGAAGCACATCTACTTTATTATTTAGCTCCTCTTTTGGTTGTAAGAATACAGAATATAGGGAATTGACATCTAAGTCTCTATTTAAAGGAAGAGAGCTAGTCTGTAAATGTGTTTTAATCTTTGTAAAAGCATATTTTGTGATTCATAATATTAGTAAACTAAGGGAATGTGAAACTTAGTATTTTCATCAAAGGTAGCTTCTGAATTATAGTGGTTTTTCTCTCAAGTACTTGAAACATACCTTTCCGAAACCTCATTATTTCAAATGTAAATGTTGTATGGGCAAGGTGGAATGGACTTAGAGTGAGCCAAGTCTGGCTGTATGTTTTACTCAAGACCTTTGGATACATTTGTTTTATCTGGGAATAGTACTTAATGCTTATAATTTTGATCATCTTATCTATTATTTTGGTTTATGAACTTAGTCATCATTAGAGTTATTTAGTGCATATAATCAATGATTTCCAAAATACTGCTGTCTGTATGCTTGAAGGAAGTATTTTGCCACTTCTGATAGGACAGTTCGAGTTTTTGCTTATTTTTCTAAGCGTATGTGCTACTTAGAGAAAGAAAGCAATCTTAATATTAGAATCTATATAAAATTGTATTCACTGAAAGTACTTTTTTTTACTTTATTTTTCCAGATGTGCCTCTTCATTTTCACTTTGAAACATTGTTTAAAAAGACTGAAATAAAAGGAGATCTTGCTGAAAATAAATTTGTAGGAGACTGTGTCATATCTCCATCACCTGGTATGTCATTTACAAATCTTGTACTTTATATGTTTTTACATCTTTCAGATACTTACTGTTTTTGCTTTCTAAGGAAATAAAATTTAACAAAGGAACAAAATGTAAATCCTTAATTTTTAATATTCACTTTTTACAAATTACACACATACACAAACAGATAATACATAGGAGTGATCTTAATAAGAAATGTGATACTTACTGAATGAAAATAATAAAATATTATTAATAAATATAAAAGGAAATCTACACATGGAGAATACAGCATTCCCAGATGATGGGAATTGATAAGGATATCAGTTCTTCCTGTTGGTATATATGATTAATGCAATGTAACTTGAAGTTTTAATAGAATTTGGTTAACTTAACAAACTAAGTGTAAAGCCCATTGGGAAAGATAAATGGGAAAATACAAAAGTAACTGCTGGAAAAAGTATTAAGAGAATCTATCCTAACCACATATGGAAACATAACAAAAATCTGTAATAGTTATTAGCACAGATTTCGTATACATTTAAGAAAGTAAAGCCATGAAGCACACTATATAGCTTATACTTTATTATATAAGGGAAAAATTGTAAATCAATGAGAACATGGAGAATTATTCAATAAATAGTAAATCTTTGGGGGGAAATTTTGTTTACATAATTGTTTCATACCATATATCAGAATAAGTTCTAGTTGGTTCCAAGAATTTGATGAAATAAAACACTAACATTACAAAATAAAACTAGAAGAGTTATAATGAAATAGTTAAGAGTATTATGAATGGGGGCAGGGACATTGTGCTTGGAAACAATCAGAAGGAAGGAAAACATCAACATGTTTTGACTATCTACAAAGCGAAAATCTCAACATAAAAAAAGCCATATAAACTAAGAAAAATTACTTCCAGATGAAATAATCATCTACCTCAAAAACTTAAGTCAACTCAGTGCCTGTTAGAATTGGAGTTCTGAAAAGTAGATTTTAAAATAAATTTACAAAAATTAGCTTTTATAAATACCAGTAATAACCAGTTAGAATATGTAAAGGAATTTTACTGGACACATTAGTTGAAAATATAAAATATCTAGGATTAATTAAACTTAGTAAGGACCTACACAAGGAAAACTTAAAAAGTTTACTGAGGAACACAAGAATATGTACCTATAGAGAGAAATAACCCTGTTCTTATCAGAAGACGGTATTGTCTGAGGCACCTGTGTGGCTTAATTAAGTATCCAGCTCTTGATATCAGGGTCATGAGTTCAGGCCCCATGTTAGGCTCCGAACCCAGCATAGAGCCCATTTCTTAAAAAAAGGAGGACAGTATTGGAACTTAAGATGTTTATTTCCCCCCCAGTTTAATTTATAACATTACTTAGAATCATAGAGGTGTTTTTTTTTTTTTTTTTTTAAGATTTTATTTGTCAGAGAGAGAGCACAAGCAGGGGGAGTAACAGACAGAGGGAGAAGCAGGCTTCTTGCTGAGCAAGGAGCTCAATGTGGGACTCGATCCCAGGACTCAGGGATCATGTCCTGAGACAAAGGCAGATGCTTAACTGACTGAGCCATCCAGACATCCCAGTATTCTTTTCTTTTGGAACAAAGTTATTCTGAAGTTTATCTGAGAGAAAAAAAATGTTGACTAGCTAATAAAATTTTTAAAAGAAAAGGAAGTGCCAGGTAACAAAATTATAAAGCTATAAGCATTATTTTATTGTGGTGTTGATGGAAGCCAGATCAAGGAAACTAAATAGCCTAGAGACAGACCCATCTGGCCACTATATGATAAAAAGGTGGTTTTTCCTATCAGTGTGGGAAGGATGGCCTCATCAATAAATAATAACAATAATTCTTATGAAGCATTCCTTACACGCCACTACTGGTTGAAGGGCTTTATATCTGTTGGTTGCTTTAATCTGTACAATCCTGTAAAGTGAGTATTATTATTTTCCTTGACTAATTTTCATATTATTATTATTTTCCTTGACTAATTTTCCCAAGTCACATTTGAACAGTGATAGGGTCAGAATTCAAGTCCAAGCACTCTGGTTCAGAGTCCATGTTTTAAACAACCAAGTTTGTTCTAAAATCCGTGGATTAAACAATGACTTTTTGGAAAAAAAAAAAAAAGATTTCTACCTCATATAGCACATTAATGTTCATCCATCTTCAATTTATTTTAAATACATTCCAGATGGATTAAAGAGTTAAATGTTAAAAGTCCTGATTTAAAAGAATTAGAAGAAAAAAAAGATGTATTTGATGGTGATAATAAAAATTATTATCATAAGTAACATTTACTGAGTGCTTATGTGTAGATACTCTGCTAAATATTTACTATTTTTTCCAATTATATTAAGACATTTAAACATTATAACAATTCTGACAAGATGTGTGTAGTAAAACCAGGACCCTCAAATATTTAAGGTAGCATTAAGAATACAAACCTTTTGGGAAGTACTGTGAAATTAATTACAATACCTTTAAATTATGTATTTTTAAAATAAGCTCACTGAGGAAAAATAACAATTTATTTGTGCAAATGTTTACTAAACTGTTAGCCCTGAATTTTGACCCAGTAAATTCATTTCTGGTAACCTAGCCTAATGCTAAATACAAAACCACCTTTATGTACAAATCTATTCATTTTACTATTATTTGTGTTAATGAACAATTGGAAATAAGGTAAAGAGTATAACTGAGATATGGTTAACCAACACAGTGGAACGTGTACCTTTTAAAAATATCTTAAAAGTTCATGTAAAGGTAGAAACATCAAAGAATGTCAAGTAACAGAAGAGGACAAAAGTGTTTTACTTCTATGTATGGTACAATTATAACCATGTAGAAATGTTCATTCTTCAATCAACCAAATGGAATGTGTGGGTCTTTTGGAGATCCTGATTTGAACAACTCAACTGTACACATACAATTTTTGAGATAATGAAATTTGAACACGCATGGCTGTTGGATATTAACTAACTTTGTTAGATGTAATAATACGTGTGGTTACATAACACACACACACTATATTTGTTAGAAATCTAAACTCACATATCTGTATTTGGGATTTGCTTTAAAATAGGCTAGCAAAAAAAAGTTGGGGATGGTCACCAGTTTGTAATCACTGATGATGAATGATAGGTACAGGGGAGTTCATTCTTCTCTTCTTCATTTGTGTTTGTTGAAATTTTTTCACAGTAAAAAGTTTTTAAAAAATTGAAAGCGCTAAGGTCAAGGAACAATTGTCTATGCTTAGGGGAAAAAAGACTAAAGAAATACAGGAAAATAAAGGTTTATGTTCAGATACTTTTTCATGATACAATTCTACTACTTGCAATTTATACAGAGGTTAATTTTAGAAAAAGAAAAAAATGTGTGCATCAAGGTGATAATTTTAAGAATGACCATAATAGAAATACCATGATGATAACAACTAGCTCTAATAGCTAGAGGATAGTTAAATGATATTATCTCTAACCAGAAGAATGTGAGGTAACCATCTGAAAAAATAACAATGGGTGAATTAATCAAATTTGAGAAATACAATTGTACACATATTTAAATGAAATTACATTTGAAATGTGAATATGAATTATGCATTTGTATGACTGAAATATACAAAAATGAAATTATATGCTGTTAGATAAGTGAGATTAGGTGGTTTTATTATTTCTAATGTTATTTTCGAAAATTAAAAAAAAGGGCAGTGTAAATGTGTTAGGCACAGAAGTAATAGTAACATATCAGTGATGTAATGACATGCTAGTAATGGGGAATTAAGAGCTAGAATAGAAGACATTTGAGATGAATGGTGCAATATTATTAGGCGAATCAGTGAAGTATATTCTATTTATCCCAATCTCTCCTCCCTCATTTTCTTTCCCTACCACTGCCAACTCAAATAATTAAGCATTAATTAGATTTCATCCTATGTAAGTCATGTCTGAAATACTGGTCATTATTATTTGTCGTTAGTGATTTCTGTAGAATTAAATAAAACTCTAGAGCTCAACATTTATCGACCACTTACTCTGTGCCAGGCAGACTGATGAATCAAAAGATGAATCACAGAGACTCAAAGAAATTATAATGTATTAAGAAGAAGCAGACACACAAGTAACTATTAAGATGATGTGGGCACAGATACGATAAAAATATTCTAAAAAGAAGAGGGAGAGTGTAACTCACTGCCTAGGGGAAGACAAGGGGAAGGAAGCGGGTAAGGGTGATGGGGAGAGGGCAAGAGGAACTCAGAAAGATGGTGATGCCAAGTGCGGCTTTAAGTGCTTACTTGGAATTTAGAGGAAGAAGAGCAAAGTGTTCCAGATCATTCATTCTCAAACTTTATGTGCAAACAAATTACTTGAGGGATGTTGTTAGAATGCAGTTTCTGCTTCAGTAAGCCTGGAATGGGGTCTGATTCTGCATTTCTAACAAGTCCTAAGTTGTTCAAATGCTGTTGGCCCATATTGGTTTTAAAATACAAACAGATGTGATTCGTCATGGAGACAAAAAACAGTGGGATGTGTTCAAGTGTATACAAAATGCCTGGTACTATAGGGTCAATTGTATGAAGGTAAGTAGATGGATGTCTGGGTGCCTTGCCACATAGCTTTTATTTATCCTCTGTTATCCAGAAGCATTTCAAGAATGCACAGCTGACTTCAGATAACAAGTTGGGAAAAGGCAAATTGTAGTGGGTTGAAGAGTAAACTATTAGTTGTCAATCCTGAGGAAATACCAGGCAAAGCCAGTTAAGGGCCTGTACTCAAAATATGCAGCCATGAAAGACAAGACAGTGGAACTGTTGCAGATACAAGAAAACTTTAGACACACGACAACTAAATGCAGAATAAACAGAATTTTCTATAAAGAACATTATAGGAATAATTGGTGAAATTTAAATGAGTCCATAGTTAATAGTATTAATTTGATTGACAGTTGTGTGGCCATATAAGAAAATGCCCTTGTTTTTGAAAAATACATGTCGACAAATTTAGAAGGACATTGTGTCAGCAACTTAATCTCATTGGAATTCAGAAAGATAAATATAAACTTAACATTTGTGGAATCTGAATAAAGTGTATATGGACTACTTTTTAATATTGCAAGCTTTCTATAGTCTGAAATTATGTCAAAATGAAGTTTATATTTTAGAGTGGACAGAGAGAGGAACAGTGGCACCACAACCCACACAAGCAAGCCAGAACCCTAGGGCTCAAGCTTCTCCACCTACACTTCCTCGTATCTAAACCCACTGTCAATATAAACTTACTCATCTGTCTCAAACACGGCCTGCTTCATTTCTACCACTTTCACAGTCCAATCTAATGATCCCTTATCTATACTGCTGAAACAGCCTGATCAGTTTTTTTCCCTCCAATCCCTGTAGCTAGTGATCTTTGGAAAATGTAAGTCTACTTATATCACTGTTCCCTACCTCCATTCCTTAAAATGTGTGACAGAGGGAATATTATAGGAGACCCCTAAAGCCCTACCTAGGACAACCCCTACCTGTTCATGGTTCTTTCTCATTATCCTGCCTTACTCTATACTACTTGCTGTTCCACTGCCAAAATTTATTTGTTGTTTTGGGCCTTTGTTCGTACCATTCTCTCTTCCTTCCCTTTGCCATCAGTGATTTCTGTTCATATTTGAAATCTTGTCGCTTTGCCTGGGTACTTTTCCTAGAGCTCTCTTCTTGTTAAATACTCCATTAACTTCTCTAAATAGTACTTCTCTTTTCTGTTATGCATTGATTACAGTTTTTGAGATGCTTATAAACTTCATTAGTAGCAAGGATCATGACTGTTTTTGCTCACCAGTGTCCCAAGGGTAGAACACAGTGCCTGGTATGTAATCAGCTCTCTATAAAGTTACTGAATGAATAAATCAAAGGGAAGAAAGGGAAGGCAGGAAATAGAGATACTAGGTCAAGGTGTGTTTTAGGATAGAATGCGGGAGATTTTGGAGAGCAAGAACTGAAAGGCTAAGAGGGTTGTAAGTAGGTGAAGAGAATGTGCAGTCTGATTTTGAATTGTCCTATATTTCCTACTGTTTCAAGAGTCCACCGCAACCTTATGATACTAAGGAAAAAGTCGTATAAAGAAGACTCAAGTAAATTCAGTAAGAAGTGCCACCTTAGGAAAGGCTGAAGTTTCTTCAAAAAGGTTAATTTGGTTCTAGAAATAAGGAAGATGGTGAATTGCTTTTAGAAGGGTGAATTGACTGGTATTTGTTTTAAAATACTCCAGAAATGTTTCCATTAAAACAAGAGAGAGCATTACTGGGACACCTGCATGTATCAGGCATATTAATTATTCTAAAACCTCTCACAATTCTAGTTACACCCTTCTAGAAATGAGTTTGAAATTATGCCTGCCAATTCATTTTTTTTTTAAGATTTTATTTATTACCACATATTATTTATTACTACTTTATTACCACAAGTAGGCAGAGCAAGAGACAGAGGGAGAGGGAGAAGCAGGCTCCTCATGGAGCAGGGAGCCCGACATGGGGCTCGATCCCAGGATCCTGGGATCATGACCCGAGCTGAGGGCAGAGGCTTAACCCACTGAGCCACCCAGGTGCCCCCCAATTCATTCTGTTTTATATTTAACATCTTTCTCTGCATTCTTTTGGGTGGTAAGAAATCTTGGGGGCCATCTTAGAATCCTGCCATTTTCCCTGAGCTCTTTAAATTTTTTTTTTTTTTTTTTTTTTTTTTTAAGATTTGAGAGAAAGAGAGGCAAAGAGAAAGGGAAGTCCCAAGCAGACTCTGCGCTGATCTCACAATCTGATATCAGGAATGGAGCCAAAACTGAGTTGGGCACTCAACCAGCTGAAGCCACCCAGGCACCCCTCCCTCCCTGAGCTCCTTAAAGTCACTATTCTGTTTTCCATCGTTTACTTTTGCCTTGTCAATTTGATCCTCATGACTTTGCAGTAATCTTTTAAATCCATTTTCTGGTAACTTTTAGGGTATCCTTGTTGTGAAGTGATGTATGATTAGGATTTTTTCTTTCCCCACTTGATACTCAAATGAGTTCTTAAAATCTTAATGGAAAAATTTTTGTCTATCATTTCTTCAACTTTGTCTCTCATTCTGTTATGTTGCCCCACTTCGTCCTTTTCTCCCCCCATATGAAATACCACAAGAGTGGTAGAAATACCACTCTTTTCCTTTCACTTGTACAATTCCCCTGCCAACCCACTTGACTGCCTTGTTCAGCCATGTCCATTCTACTACTCAGACCTGGTAGTGATGGTTGTTTTTAAATTTGAGCAATTATATTTTCCATCTCTGAGGTCTCTCTTAAGGAACCTTTTGCCTATTTCTTTTGGCAATGTTGTTTTTAAAAGACTTGTTTGTATTCTGTGAATCCATTCACTGTTTCTGGGTGGTTGTTTGTACTTCATTTTTTATGGTGCTCTGCAGACTACTGGAGTTCTGTGTTCTCACCTTTAAAGTTGATATTCACTATTAATATTTTCTGCCACTGTTATTTATGAGATCCTTTTCATGGATGGCACAGAAATTTGCACTCGGTAGTGTGCAGAAGCAGTTAGGGACCGACAGGACATATTTCAAAGTGAGGCACTGGGCATTGCTTTCTCTCTCCCCCCATCCATTTCTCTGCCCAAGACTCTCAGATTGTTACCTATTAAGGCAAATAATCTCAAGGAGTGTGGCTGAGGAGTTGGCATGTGTAGTTACCCTATCAGATAACTATCCATCTAGGTAAATTGTCCTGCACCATTTCCCTTTCCTCTAGGTCTAGAGCACCTCTGATGATCCTATTTTTGTGGCAGCACTTTCCCACGTGCTTTTTTGCACTGTTTGCTCTTTAAATTCCGCATGATGTCTTTCAGAGATTCCACACAAATTCTGCTTTACTTACAAGTTCCCTTTTGTTGCTTGCTGATGGGGATGTATATATGCAGATCTAGACATGTCTATGTATAAATCTTTTGTCTATTATTTTTAGAGCGCTTTGTCATCTTGAAATCAGAACCCATTATTGTTAGTAGGCCGTCCTCCCCCTCCCCCGTGTTGGTGAGATTTGGGACTTCAGCCTGCATTTCTTTTTCATCTCTAAACCCTTCAAAAAGGAAGCCAATTTGGCTATTAAGCTAGTACTGGAAATATGGGGTTCAGATAGGCAATAATGATAAAACTACATTTATTGAATACTTACCATGTCAGATATCCTTCTAATGACTATTATCGGGATTAACTCATTTAATCCTCATTAAGCCCATGACAGCTGTTCTTACTCCTATTTTACAGATAAGGCAACTGAGGCACAGAGATATTAAGTGACATAAAAGTTTGAGAATACCAGTGCTTTTAAAAAGTGAAAGAATGGTGCTGGGTACTGTCAGTTTGATGAAATCTGGTTCTTGCTCAAGAGGTCCCTATTTATTGTGATTCTGTAGAATCTTTATCCTGAATTACTTTCAGATTTAAGGGGGTGGGGAGCTAATTTAGGGGTTCAGATTATATTCGGCCAAGATTTACAGACCGGAACGAACCCAAGATTTTGTAATTGAGAAGACTTTGGAAAAGGTCACCTTTCCTTTTCATCCACTTCAAGTAATGGAGCAACTATAGGAAATTGGGCACTTCTTGAAGATGTTTTTAAGGAACATTATGGGTATTTTCAGTTTAGGAACATTCCATTTTGATATGTAAGTCTCTCTCTCGTTACATTTATTTTGAACTGGTGTATTAATGTTCTGCAATGTTTTAAGTAAAAACATTAACATGTTCATTATGTGTTAAGGAAAATTTCACATTTCCTTTCTATTTGTTTTAGTACATAATACTTCTCTGAATCAATGGAGAAATGGATATTCTCCTACTTGCAAGCCTCAAATAAGGTCAGAATCTTCTGCACAGCTGTTCCAGGGAAGAAAGAAAAGACACTTGAGTGAAACAGCATTAGGTAGGTTAAAATGAAGACATAAGCACTAGTACTAAAAACTGAAAATAAAATTATCTTCAAAGAACCTCTGCTTCATGGAAATTTATAATCCAGAATAGTCCCTATTATATAAAATATCCGTGGTCCTATTAATGTTAAACAGCGTATTCATGTAGTCAGTTCAGAATTGTTTGTGGACTGGGCATCCATCCACTTAATGACAGGGATTTCCTTCCTATATTCCCTAACTAGGGTTATCTTCTCATGACTGTCCTCCTAAACAGAACTTAAGCCAGCGTCGTGTTCGGGACTCAGATATGTCAGCAGAGTTGCCTTACAACCGTATCTGGTACTTACATGGATGTCACGTTCACTGTCGGTTCACTGAAGCTTCCTTAGGAACCTACAGTTCCAAGATGACCAACAGATATTTTTGAAACTAGAACTCTTCTAGTAATACCAAGTGGGGTTCGTTATAGGGATTTAGGACTATCAGTTTCCAGAGTTATTGCAAATAATGATTAAAAAGTAAAACTTACCAGAAAATATACATTTTAAATGGCAACATATTTACACTTTGTTCCTGTTCATTGTTCCAGTAGACAGAACACTATATGCATTAGTCAAGTGTTCCCCAGATGTAGTATGTCAGTATACCCAATAATTTACAAACTGCATTCAAGATGTACTGGACTGTAATTATACTTAATGGATTTAACATATTTATCACTAATATCTCTAGATATTAGTCTAGAACTGCCACCATATCAGCCCAGGTCACTACCTGAAAATCACTACCAGATGAACTAGTATGGCGCAAAATAAAACTCCTAGCCACAAGCAGAGATTGCATTGTGCTTTTTTAGTACCACAATCTTAGAGACAACCAAGACACCTTAGCTTTTGAAGAACTTACATACACATACAGATCTTCCTCTCTTGACTTACGACATGGTGACATTCCAATAAGCCCATGATAACTTGAAAATACCTTGAGTCAAAAAAGTATTTAATAACACTAACCTACCACCCATAGCTTAGCCTCAAATGGGCTGAGAACACTTAATTAACCTAAGTTGGGCAAAATAATCTAACACAAGGCTTATTTTAAAATAAAGCACTGAAAGGCACCTGGGTGTTTCAGTTGGCTAAGCAGCTGCCTTTGGCTCAGGTCCTCATTGGGATTGAGCCCCGCATTGGGGCTCCCTGCTTGGTGGAGAGTCTGCTTCTCCCTCACCCTCTCCCTGTCACTCTGCCTACTTGTGCTATTTCTGTCATATAAATAAAATAAAAATTAACAGTAATGTGTTGAATATCCCATGTAATTTATTGACTACTGTACTGAAACAGTATGAATTGCCGTATGGGTAGAGAATGGTTGCAAGTGTATTGATTATTTATCTTCATGATCACATGGCTGACTGGAAGCTGTGGCTTGTTGCCGCTGCCCAGCATGGGTATCCTGTTGCATAATGCTAGCCCAGAAAAAGGTCAAAATTCAAGGTATAATTTCCACTAAAGGCCCTGTCACTTTTGGACCATCATAAAGTTGAAAAATCCTAAGCTGAACCATTGTAAATTGAGGGCTGTATATGTATCAACACACAGAAGAACTTGTCTCTCTTAATAAAACCCACTATGAATTCACATTACCTAAGATATAAAATGTTTCACTTGAATTGATCTAACTTCAAGTTTGATGGAAATACAGGAAGAGAACTAGTAAGATGCTATACTACAAAGAGCTAACTAGGTAACTCCCTAATATGCAGAACACCTTAACAAATGTCATGAAAAACAAACTCTTCCAGACTGCAAGAAACCTAAAAGACAATAACCAATTTCAGTATATGGATCCTGATTTGAAGAATCTACTAACCAACCATAAAGGACATTTTTTAGCAACTAGAAAAATGTAAATATGGACAGGGTATTAGATTTTAGGAAAACGCTTTTTAAGTTCAGAAGTAAAATAAGGGTGGTAAAGTGAATAAATAAATACATATTCACAAATAGGGAATCAAAACAAATGGAAAAAGGAAACATGGAAGAAAGAGAAAATACCAAGAATAGCAACAAAGTTCTAATCAATATCTTGAGATAAAAAGAGAAATTCCATCCATAAAATAAGGACAGTATAAATGAGTGACAGACCAAGAACTTTCAGTAGAAAAAGTCTCAAGTAGAATGGTCTGAAGATCAAGTTACGGGTATCTCCCAGAAATCAGAATAAAGTCAAAGATATAAGAAAATGAGAAAGTATAGAGAAAATTAAAGGGTAAGTCTTTGGAGGTTAACTTCCAAATAATAGGCATTACAGAAAACATGAACAGAGTAAAGAGAAGGGATGAGATTAAAAAAAATGAGATATACTGGATAAAAACTTGCCAGGTCCCCTGAAAGTGGAAATAATTGTGACAGAACTGTGGGTAAGATTTTTTTTCATTTCCTTAAATTTTTGATACATAAATTTTAAAAAAGAAAATCAAACATAAGGAATTATGTTACCTAAGTAGGAAAGTAATTTTAATACCTATCAGTCCTGTTAATGTATGACATTCTCCATGGTTCTTTCCATGTCAGGAGAAAGAACCAGATTTGAAGAATTTGCTTTTCAACGCACAGAACCAGGATCCCATAGCAATTTTACTGCTGTTACTAATGTCAATGTTATATCAAGAACCCAGAATTCATCATCACAAGTAGGTTTTTTTGCATATTGAACTCTAAAACTGCTTTGTAGACTTAAAACTGGCTGATAAACTAGAATATTTTGTTAATCTATAAACAACAGCCTTACTTTGCTAGCACATATTGGCTTATTTAGGAATATCTTACTAGGTAACGATAAATTTGATTGAACTTTTGTTTTAAACTAGTGAGCTAATTACTCACTAGCTAATTACTAGTGAGCTAATTGATTATGGCATTTTATTTTCTTGTGTGAAAAACTATCGCTAACTGTTCCTACTCCTTACCATGAAGCTTCGTGAGAATCCAGCACTCATATTGTTCTTATGCTTTTATCATCTGGTCAGAAAACAGAGGTTAAAAGGCAAAAGGATTTAGAAAAAACTGTAAAGCTCAAGGACCAGGAACACATAAATGAAAATTATAAAAATGATCTTTACTAAGTTAACACACCAAATATTTTCAAAGTCTTTCCTAATAAGGAAGTGTGTTTGTTAAACGGTCATTTTCTTGACATTTAGGGGACTTTATGGTAACCTTCTTTGATAAGAGTTTTGAAACTTAAGGTATTCATATTTTTTATGGTCTTAAAAATAAGTTTATATGTATTTTATGTATGCAGACACAAATGTACACTGCATACCTGCCAGCAGGAACTGTGTTGTTTTATACAAGATAGGCACTGTTCTTGTTTTTGTTAACATTTTATACTCAGGCCTATCATATTTATAAAACATGTATAGTATACCTCATGAGAAGAGGGCATCTTATAAAACTACTGTGACCCTACTTTGCAGAATACTGCACGACGGAGATTGAGAAGTGAGAGCTCTTACGACATAGATAATATCGTGATTCCCATGTCATTAGTTGCCCCAGCTAAGTTAGAGAAACTCCAATACAAGGAAATACTTACTCCAAGGTATGTATACTTACATCTTCCTATTTTCTTTCTTCCTTTTCTTGATAAACTTAAATTTTCAGACTGAAGTTAAAATTTTAATTAATTAAAGGAAGATGCTCATCTCTTCTTCCACTTGTAAAACCATGGAGGGAAAATGATGCAACAAACCTTTATATTACTCATGCTGAAAAAAAGTGCCATATATTATCACTTTGTCAATTTTTATGAAGAACTAGGAATTCCTAAGACTGACTGACTCTGCACTCTTAAGTCTTTTATATAGTAATATTTAGTTATTATATATATATGTGTATATATATATGTATATATATATAAAATATGGCACAAAAAGGTACTTTAGGGATGTAAATAAGTATAACAACAAATAATCCTTGCTCTTTAAAATGGAGTTTTGCACAAGATTGCAAAAGAGTTCAAAGAAAGCAACTACCTTTGCAAGGAATATTCGCATTATAAGACAGTAGACTTGTCAAAACAACAAAAATTAAGATTTTGAGGTATTGTTGCCAAGTCAGCAACAGATTAGTAGGAAGATCTGGGAAGACGTCATGAAGAATAGTTTATTCACACAGGGAAACCGCAAAAAGGTACACAGACAAGTGTGCAAGGCTAAACGGGAGAGAGATTTTGTGTAGCGTGATAAAGTTATGGCTAGAAAAGAAATTAGAACCAGATTATAGAGGTCCCAGAATGCCATACACAGATCTGCTTCCTACTGGCACTGAAGTTTAGTCAGTTTTTTTTTTTTTTAAGCAACGACGAAAGTAGTTTTTTAAGAACATGAATCTGGCAGCAGGAAGTAGAAGAGGTTGAAAACAGAGATAAAAGCTCACTGACAACTACAGTAATTCCTACCATCTCTATTCTTGCTGATTTTCAAATTTTCTTATCCCTAATTACTCTGAGGTATTAAGAGCTCTTAAGAGGTGCCTGGGTGGCTCAGTTGGTTAAGGGACTGCTTTCAGCTCAGGTTATGATCCTGGAGTCCCGGGATCAAGTCCTGCATTGGACTCCCTGCTGGGCAGGAAGTCTGCTTCTCCCTTTGACCCTGCCCCTTCTCATGCTCTCTCTCTCTCAAATAAATAAATAAAATCTTTAAAAAAATTTTTAAAAAAGCTCTTAATACTGTAGGAGGTATATGAGAAATCCTACAGAGAATCTGTTGAGATCTTCTACATAAAAGAAGTAACATTTGTGGTTATGATGTTCTGCAGCAATGATGTTTTTCAATTTACTTTGGAAGCTGGAGCTGGCTGGTTGGGTTGGTTGGTTAAATACAAAGGAATTCTGGGGTTCAGTAGTTAAACCTGAGAGACCATGATGGGTGTCTTCACACAAATTGGCAAATGCTCAAATCAGAGCTCTTTTCTCCCCATCCTCCCACACCCATACTCCAACCCCTCCCATACTCCACCCCCCCCCCCCCACCCCCCCCCCCCCCCCCCCCCCCCCCAACTATCCTCCCGCCTCCCTGCCAAGCCATTGTATCACCATCTACTGACTTAATTCAAAATTGGTACATTCTTAGGTATAGAATGCAGCTGTGCAGAAGAGACCGTTTACTCTAAGGCCAAAAGTCTCACCTTCTCATCTTTTTTTTTCATAACACAAATTGTTCTCTTTAAAAAGAAAAAGTATGAAAATACAACCATTTGAATTAATGGAAGCCCCGAGAAAAGAAAACATTACTGCATTGGCTGTGCTTAGAGAATATAATTGCTACACTTAGCTAACAAAAGCTGAAATTGGTTTGTATCTTCAACAGCTGGAGGATGGCTGTTCTTCAGCCTTTGGATGAATACCATGTAGGTGAAGAGGTAAGTTGCCTTTCACTTATGGATAATTACACTTTATATATTATGAAGCCTGCTTAAATTTGGTATTTGAGGAACTAAAGTGAAATATATAAGCTCCTTAACATATACTGATTTTAACATATACTGATATTTTTTCACTTATGAAAACAAAATTCTTCATTAAGGATATTAGTTTCATAAGGAAAACATTTTTGTGCAAATTTGCAAAGACAATTTATGAAGAAATGTAGTAAAAACACAAATCATTTGCTTACATAAATTGTTGAAATACCGAATTTATATCAATAACTATATTCATTCCCAGTATTAGTCATATTTTCCTGCATGAAGAGATTTAGTCTTAATATTTAAGTCTACAATACCACATTCAAAATGTTGGGAGCAGACGGCTTTTGATTTTGGAAACCTTTGGACTTGAGAAAGTAATGTGAACGTGATAGATACATCACATAAGACATAGAGGGAGTCTAGAATAGATTGTTTCTCAGAAAATAGTTCTAGAATTTGGACAGATCAGGCTATGCCACTGAACGAATTAGGAACACTTACTGTTTCAGAGTTCAAGAATTGCAGGAAAGGGACGGAGAGCCTGTATGGGTAAAACTTACATTAAGACAAGAACAATTTCATGGAAAAATACCAAATAACCAGGCTAATTTGAAGGTGATATTCTGCAGTAGCAGTATAATGCATTTTCTGTCATAATCTTTCTAGGCCCACTGACTGTGTTTTTCAATCTCTAATAATACCTTTGTAATGCCCTCCCTCCTTTAACGTGCTCTTCCCTAGTTTAGAATGAGCCTAGCCACGAAACCCAGATTCTTAAACTACTACCACCAAAGTCTTAGAATTCCAGATAAGTCATTAGTTAAATGAATTTTCTTTCCTCAGTTTTACTTTTCTTTGATATTAACATTCCTAGAACATATATTCCATAAAGAGCAATCAATATAAACCTTTGAATGAATTAAACATTAAGAATTTTTTAATGCAAAGCACTGTGAACCTATCTGTAATCTAGATAAGTCTACAACATTAACAGATTAGGGAAAAAGTTCTAAAAGAAAAAAAAGTCAACTCCCTCTAATTTTGGAATTGGAAGCTCATCTCATAACAGTTGTTCTCTGAATTTAGATTTACTTTATAATTTTCTTCCTATTTTGTTCTCTTGATGAGGAACTGACACCTGTTCTCATATTTCAAAATGTTTCTGATAAAAGAAAAACTTTATTTCTAATTCCAGGTAGAAGATCTTTCTGATGAAGTCTTCTCCCTAAGACACAAAAAATACGAAGAGAGAGAGCAAGCCAGATGGTCACTATGGGAACAAAGCAAGTGGCATAGAAGAAACAGCAGGCAGGTGTTATCAATTTATAACCTCAAACCATGAAATCCATGTGGAATCAACAAAAATTCTGCATGATTAATGAGAGAGACCACTAAAAATGAAGAATAACATCCGTTATTTTTCTACTAGAAGCAAAACACGGCATTTACTGAGTACATTCAAAATATATTTGGCTAATTACAGTGATGAAATGCATTTCTGTATTTTCCTCCACTATTTCCTCATGCTTATTGTTAGCCTGAGGAATAGATTTAACTCCACAAATAATGTGAAAATCCTCCCTAGATAAAGTAGGTCATTTCAGTACACTCTAACAGCAGACCTAACACTAGGGATTAGAATCTGGGTGATCTATTTTCACATAACCTCTTAAAAAACACGTTCTTAAAAAAATTTTCTCAAGAAACCTATCTAGTCTAAAAAGCAGATGATCTAAAATACTTTGAAAATATGACTTTGGGGGAAAGGAAATCCTAAAAACATAATTAGTAATTATATATTTGAGAAAGTCCATGGTACTTTATATTTACATTTGATTGTGTTTTAATATAGCCAAAACTCACAGAGCAAGATCATGTTCAAGTCTGGTAGTCCACTAAATTTGGTGTGGGACTCATTTACTTAGTACAGGTGACCCCTGAACACAGGTTTGAACTATATGGGTCCACTTATACATGGACTTTTTATAGTACAGTCCTATAAATGTGTAACATTTCCTTTTTTCTAGCTTACTTTATTGTAAGAATATAGTATATAATAAATATAACATACAAAATGTGTGAATCGATTCTTTACATTATCGGTAAGGCTTCCTGGAGAACAGTAGTAGGCTATTAGTAATTAACGTTTTGGGAGAATCAAAAGTTACATGCAATTTTTGACTGCATAGCAGGTTTGGTGCTAACCCCTGTGTTATTCAAGGGTCCGCTGTATTTTTCTTTGCCTTTTTTTTTTTTTTTTTTTAAGATTTTATTTTTAAGTAATCTCCCCACACCCAACTCGGGGCTAGAACTCACAACCCGGAGATCAAGAGTCACAAGCTATACCAATTGAGCCAGGCACCCCTCAGCTGTATTTTTAAAACACATTTCTCTGTTTAGGTCTCAAAATACCAGATTTGTTGTAGATCCTTATTCCAAGAGCTGTCTTAACACACACACACACACACACACACGACTCAGTTCTCATCTTTCTCCACATTCCAGAGATACAACTTTCTGGAAGTAAAGAGGAAAATGTGAATCAAGTCCTACATGGATGACATTGTAACAGAGAATACTCTGGGAAATCAGCAAGACTGTAGAAGTCAAGTAACTGTCCTTTCTCATTTAAAAACAAAATAATAACAAACCCCAAACTCAAACCCACTACTACAATTTGGCAAATTCATAAAGTATTATTTCTAAGATACTGTTTAAGTCTTGAGGTAACATCAGGAAGATCAGATGAATTTTTTAAAATCTTCTGAGCAGGACTGTTTAAAGAAAAGCTACGAAATTCAATTGATTTAGTGACACCTTGGGGTTGTTCATAAAATGTTAAGGCCTGAAGAAGTAACAAGTATTTTTTTGATTTTCTTGCTAGAGCCTACAGTAAAAATGTGGAAGGACAGGACTTGCTTTTGAAAGAGTACCCTAGTGACTTCAGTGGTGGCCAGCACTGTGCTGCTGGAAGTCCTGCTGAGCTCTCTTCAGAGAGCCAGGATCTTGGTGCACAGGGCTCACCTTCATTAAATGAAAGTCAAGAAATCAAGGTAAGTGGAATATATACAACTAGTTAAACCTCCTTTTAAATTAAGCCTTTTAACTTTTTAAAAGGCTGTGTGTGTAGAAAGTGCTTGTTGCAAATTATGTAACAAATCAGAGGGTATGTATTCAAGTGTTCTAGTTCTGTCACTAATACATACTTTAACTTTTCCTTAAAGTGTCAGTATCTAGTTTCACATACTCACTTCTCTGAAGCGAGAATTCTATCCAAGTTTCACTACAAAACCAACCTATTAGAGAGAACAGCACCTTGGCTGTGACATAGTAAATGCTAGCTGCTATTTCTCTTCTTTTTCTAAGAGATTTTTACCTGTCTCCCCATAGATCCAGTTCTTACCTCACAGGGAGTGTTTTTCTAACACAGCATCTATGTTTTTGCACCGTTCTTCATAGGAGGTATGGGAAAAGAAGAACAAGATCTAGAACGGAGATCACAAACTATAGAAATTAATTGGCAAGCCGGAGAAAGTTTGGGGAAGGAAGAGTCAATAGGTGTCTATAATTATGGGCCAAAAATGACATGAAAGTAGGAGATCCACACACACTGAAAGGGGCTTTCTGAGCGCACTCCAATGCTGAAAATGAAAACTGATGCTCTCCAGCAGTGTCTCCTCTTCGTGGAAGGGCACAGTGAAAACCTAATTCCCAAAGGTCTCTAGCAATTCCCAGTAACGACCCATTTGAGTTGCTAGATATTCAGGTCGAAATGAAAGTTTGCATTTATGCACTAAAGAACAAACAGGAATTACAAAATTGACATTTAAGGATTATTTGATACGTGAATTTAAACAAATCAGTTGAAACTTAACTGAAAATGTTCTCTCTTTCAGTCTTTGTGGTGGGAACGACGGACTTTTCCGCTGAAGGACGAAGACACAGAAGCCTTACTATGCGAGGATGAAAAGAAGGATCACAGTGAAAGTCTGAGCCCAGCCTCCCGTGGTGAAGTCTTCTGTCCCAGTGCACCAGAGAACAGTCACCATCCAAAAAGGCAGGCAGACGAAATGGAAGAGTACAAACCTTTTGGTCTAGGACTTACTCATATTAAAAAAAATAGGTGACAGGGAACAGGTTTAAAAAAGTATGTACGTGAATGGAAAACGGGGGGGAAAAAAAAAAGCCCTGCTTTCCATCCCCCACCCCCTTCAGTCACAGTTCCAGAGTAAAAGCATGTACTGCATGTATTAATCTTTTATGCTGTTATAAAACAGGCAAGGTAGGTCTTTTTCCTTCTTGAACCACAGGAATAACTAGCTTTTCACCTACAAGACAAGTGCTAGTCTTTTGTGTTTATGATGCAAATCACAAGCACCAAAAAATTAACTGCTGCAATCTGTTGTTAAATCACATTACTGGGTAAATGACTTTTCAAAGACTGTGTGTGTGTGTGTGTGTGTGTGTGTGTACACACACACGCACATACATATACACCTGTGCATCAAATGACAACTCTTTTTCCTGTACATTTCTATGTAATTTCTAGGGTGATTCATTAAAATTACCTCAGAAATATATTATACACATATGTGTGTATAGAGTATACATACCTATATACACACACATCATTTTTAAAAACACTGGCAGTGACCACTCCACTTGAAAATGCATGCATGAACTACCCCATGAAATGTAAGCTGTACTCTAAACAAAGCAGAGGTTCCAGTGATAATGGATATCTAAAAGTCTTGGTTATGGGGAGATAAGTTTTTAAAAAACACGTTTAACCAGTAGAAGTTATTTATGGAAATTTCTATACAAGATAACACAATATGCCTTTATCTAAAATCACTGTTATCTGTTAGACTAAGGGTTACTTTCCATTCGCTCCTAACAGATTAAGACAAGCAAAGTACAGTTAAATATTGGTCTCTTTTAAAACCTGAATTTTATCTATTTTATGTATCTCATGGAGAGAAGACACCAACTTAAAATAAGCAACAGGAAAGTCCTATCAGTATATAACAGTATAAAAAACTGTTGTATTTCTAGTTAATTTGGTTTTTCCTTACTCTAGCTCACTCAATTCAAATAAGCATCTATTCTTACTTGTATCCTAGAGTGAGAAAATTTTTCAAAGGATAACGCTTCAATACTGAATACAGGAGTGTATGTTAAGGAAAGTTCCTTTTGAAGCTATCACATAACTTTCTCTATGTAAAAGCTGAGGCAGTTTCTCTCATATAAAAAAAAAAAAAAGGTTATTCAAGTTATAATACCCATAGAACTGACAATCCTGACCATCTGGCCTAGTCGGGGGGGGATTTGACACTAAGTTTTTTGTTAGGGATTGGAAATTATACTAGTCCCTTTAAGGAAGAAAAAAAATGCAAATTCAATACTGACAAATTTTTGCTGTAGTTTTACTGTACATTTATTTTTAAAAAAAGGAAACAAAAGCCAGACAAACCGAAGTTGTCTAGGCAAATAAGCTCAAATCTTTGTCATGTCCGACATTATAATCTTCTATGTAAGTTTTTTAATTAAAGTTATTTCTATATGCCTCGTGTGGTCTGATTTGATTAAACGCCACCTATTCACGGCACAAACCTTTCCTAAGTCAAAATAAAAGGACAAATTTTTACCTTGTAGGATAGAAAAAACCAAGGAAGCTCTCATGTGGAAGTGTTAATGTTCTCATTTTGCCTTATTTCTTAAAACTCACAGTAGCCTAAAGAAGTTTAATGATACTAGTCACCTGTTTCCTTCCTGCCATACGTATTATATAGCAAGAGTGTTGGCAAGAATGAAGTAACAGATAACATATTTGTGGTCAAAGTATAATCGGGGACACAGTTTTAAGTATTTAGTGTACGGATTAACTCTGTACCTTGTCATCTTTTGGCCTACCTCGTCTTTGCTGGATTAATACAATATATATCCTTGGGGTCAAATCCATAGTATCCAGAATATCCTCAGCCATCTGGTTCTGCTTTAGCGTAAAATTAGACTGCAAATAAGACAATGTTACAATAAAGAGACTTCCTTTGCCTATCTACATCCCAAGGGCTCCATCTGTTAAAAAAAAAAAAAAAAAAAAAGTACAAACCCAGAACTCCTGTGCCCCACTGGGTTCTTTCAATGGGACCAACCTGTTGCTGAGCTCTAGTGTCTTCATTTTTTAAATGGGGACAAAAGTACCTGTTCTACTACTCTTAAGACTGATTTATGCATTTAATGAGCTTATATTGAAGGACTTTGTAGGCTACAAAATATAAATGACAGCTACTTTGTATTGAGCATCAATTCTACTATCCTATAATTCTGGGAATGGTAGCAGAAGCTTTAAAGATAGCATATGATCTCTTTTAATGCTCAATATAACCTTACATGGTTATTATAATTATATTCAATGTATAAATCAGTTAACAGATACTCAAAGAGACGGGTTGATTTGATTTGCTAACGTCAAATAAGTCAAATAGTTGGAAAGGAGAAGAGTCCAGATTCAACTCGATAGTACTTCCAAATAGAAGCTTTCCTTTCCTTTCTGCTCAAAGCTAGCACAAGATTATTGTTAAGAAAAGGAACGGGTGGGATCACTGTATAACTTGCCCCTCCAGTAGAGCTGACAAAACAACTTGATAAAATCTGTAATTTTAGAACAGTCCACCTGAAATCCCTGGGCTTCATACACTGTTTTTACAGTTTTTATGTATCAAATATAAGGTGCAAAGTAAAAGATGTTAAAGAAGCAAGAATACAGTGTGCCATCCTAACCAGATTCAAACTTAGATTTTTCACAAGTTCCATTCTACTCATGTTGTCATGCGCACAGACAAATCAAAATAACACGGGACGGGAATAAGGACTTCCTTTGCTTTGGAAAACCAAGAAATGAGAAGATTTAAAATGCAGAAAAAAACATTTTTTTCATAGTAGCTAGTATACCTTCATTAGGCTTTAAGACACACTTCCGTTCATAACCTTAATACAGCCGTATTTTTACTTTATAAAAATCAAGTCTCCCAGTAAAAATGGTATTTTACCACACTAATCTTTAAATTCCATCACTAAAAAGGTAGTTATACACACCAATTTCTAACCTCTTGGAACGTTCTGCAGAATAGGTTTTAGTCACTGGAATGAATAGCTGCTCAGAAAAACAGCACTGCTTCAACTGTGATAGGATTTGATAGTCAATATTCTTGTCTTCCAGTAAAAAGAATTCATGAGCATGAACACTGGACTCCTTGTGGTTTCATCGATCAAGAGAACGTTTCTGAGCAGCTTCTGAGCAAACATTTCTTAACAGGTTGATCACAGATCTGGGGTCATCGCTCCTCATAATGGCACTGCCAGACACAATCATGTTAGCTCCTGCCTGGAAGAAGTAAACATTCAGGTTATGCTTCAAAGGAAGACGCACAGAGGCTTAAAACAGAATTTCTGGACTATAGTTTCTATCCTTGCACTGTCAGCGCTTGAACATACGAAGCTACCTTGAGATGACAGACTTAAGCAATCTAGTTCAATGAAGACAAAGTTGAAATACTTACCAAGTGAAGATACCAAGTTATTTTTAAATGGGTTTATGAGATCACAGACTTGTCTGTGACCACCTTTAAAATAAGCAACATTGTTGCATCTTTGCTAATATTTAGAAAAAGCTGTAAAAGCCTTTAATCCTCAATTCTATTAAGGTTTCTCCAAAATATGCCTAGCTACTAAAAAAACAAAGTATCTTTTAATCTTTACGTAGTTGGTCCTCGAACAATGCAGGGGTCAGGGGTACTGACCCGCTGTGCAGTCAGAAATCCGCGTGTAACTTCTGACTGCCCCAAATCGAACTACTAATCGCCTCCTATTAACTGGAAGCCTTACCAATAACATAAACAGCTGATTCATAAATACTCTGTAAGTTACATGTATCATGTACTATATTCTTATAATAAAGTAAGCTAAAGAAAAGAAAAATTGTTAAAAATTATAAGGAAAATACAATACTGTAAAAAAGGACCCATGCAGTTCAGACCCATGTTCTTCAAGAGTCAACAGTGTATGAATGGGTAGACAATTACTGCTAAAATGTGAAACTATAAAATATGGCAACATTAAATTTTCTCATTTTGATGTCAGAAAGAATGAAACACGTTTTAATGCATGCTTTATTGCATCCCACAAAGGCTTTGAAGGGTTTAAGAAAGTTTTTTGAGATACTTCTTAATGTGGAAGCCAAGAAATCACAGAGAAAAGCATATAAGGTAAGTCCAAATTTAGTTCTGAGCTCCCCGGATTTGACTCGAGGAGGGAAACCCAATCTGTCCTGTGATCTGCTACCAGGAAGCTAGAGGCCCTGGAAGGGAGGAAAATTCCTCCCAGGAGACACTGTCATTCTGTGATACAGCACACTGCATCTCCAATGACAATTCTCTTAAAAATAACAAACACTGGTTTTATAGGGTTACAGCTTGATATGTAAGCAGGAAAAGCCCAGCAGCAAAAACACAGTTCAGTAAAAAGTGGTCAAAGGATATATGCTCACTGATTGTTTGCTCCACTCCTCTTGCGTAAATATCTCACAGCCAAGCTTTTGAGAAGTACCAGGCAGAAAAGTATAGCATTTATACAAAACACTGGAAGTGCAGATTAGAGCATGTCACTTAACAAAAATGGGCCATATAAACTTTAATGGCCTGCAGTATTACCGAAGGAGCTGGCAGCCCCCCGCCTGGTTTTTTTAAGGATTTATTTTTTAAAGAGAGAGCACGAGCAGGAGGGGCAGAGGGAGAGAGAGAATCTCAAGAAGACTCCACACTGAGCGTGGAGCCCAACATGGGGCTTGATCTCACAACCCTGAGATCATTTGGCTGGCACCCTCTTATGAAACTCAGGGCCTAACTCGGCTCCGCAAGTTACTTGGGAAAACTCATCCCACCTCTACGTAGAGGACCCCAGGCATCCAGAAATCAGACCTAGATTTCCATCAGAAACAGCTCCAGTCAGTTCTTGCAAGGGACAAACTAGTAACTAATACACCTCAGTTACACAAAATAACCATCTTTTCACCTTATAAGCAGGTGTGTTTTCTCTCCATGTTTTGGAAAAATGTCTTACTCCAAGTCCTAGAACTTAATAATTTCAGAAAGGCTGGCATTAAGCATATTCTTTAAAACAACAACAACAACAAAAAACAAAACAAAACAAAAAAACAAAACCCAGAAACAAAAACCAAAAAACTCCCTTCAGCATTACTCAGATAGCTGGGACTTACTTTTTAATGAACGTATAATTGAGAATATATCACTTCCTGCTCTTCATTTTCATAGTTTTACATTTGAATAAGAAAAGTGCTCTTCCCAGAAAGAAAGGCAGTTTAGGAAATGAAGGGGAAATCTCTTTGGCGCACAAGACAACATCCTACTAGACACATTTGAAAGGAAACGGTCTGGGTCACAGCTGAGGAGCAGTCTCACCTCTGCACATTTATGGATAGTGTCAGGGCCTACTCCACCATCGACTTCTATGTCCAAGGATGGGAACTGGGTCCTCAACCAATGAACCTAGATATACACGAAAAAATAAATGACTCCTATGGTGGATACATGGGCGGTGGGTGGGAATAAACAAAACCAAATAAACAAAAAAATCAAAGAGCCATCATCAGCCGCTACAACACAACTCCAAATATCTCACACAATATTTATTTATTTGTTTACTTACTTAAGTGATCTCTATACCCAATGTGGGGCTCGAACTCAGAACCCAGAGATCAAGAGCTGCATGCTTAGCCAGGCACCCCATCACACAGATAACTTTTTATGAATACAAATGACAACTGGGGATACTTTCCTTTTTCATATACTGAAACAAATTCAGTTTCATAAAAGCAAGGCTTGTTCTGTTCGGGAAACAGCATTCAATTTGTCATGCCTTTGCAGAGAATATACCTCATGCCAATAAGACAAACATAAAACCCTCAATACTCAATGAAAAGAGATCTCCCAAGAGGTCTGAAGGCTACAGAGATAATAGCTTTGAAAGAAAATTTCAAGATTAAGATGTTAACATTTTTTCCTCATTTCCAAACCTCCATCTTTCATGGCATCTGCCACACCATATTACAGTGATCTGTAGGCCTCCCTCCCGCATCACCTTCAGAGGCGAGACAGGTCTAAAACACACGAGTGGTTCAATGTACGCTTACTGAATGAGCACAAACAATAAAAGCCTCACCCCCAAATGAAATAGTTTTTTTACCTTTGGCATCATATCTTCCATGAATTTCTGCCCTCCAAACCCAGGTTCCACTGTCATAACCAAGGCCATATCTATCTGATTAGCCCACGGTGCCAAATACTCAACTGTGGTTCCCGGTTTGATGGCAAGGCCAACCTATAACAGAGACAAATTTGCTACATCACATTAGCAATTATTTACATATTTTATAACTGTGGTACATCAGACCCAGCAGAAATATCTATTCTTAGAGAATAGAACAGACACAGACATGGAATGCATAAATTATTCAGATTATAAGTACTTTTTTAAAGTCAACAAGGCTACCCCAATGTAAACGTTTCTAAAAGGCAGTCATTTTCAGGAAACATGAGTGGAATCTAGAAATCCTGTCTCCCAAACAAGTTATACTTAAACGCTGGTTTCTCAGCTGAAGAACAGCTGCCGCAGTCCAGTCTCGTCCGCCGATCACTTCCTGTCTTCCACCCAAACTTCCACACTGACAGTGAATAGTAGAGAACGTTACTGTCACTGCTGACCTCTCACCTTCATCCCATTCTCCCGAATGTCTTTAATCAACGCCCCTGGGTTCTCAGTAGCCTCAAGATGAAAGGTGTATTGATTGGCTCCCGCCACGGCCATTGGTTTGACCCACTGTTCCGGCCTGGACACCATCATGTGCATGTCTAGAAAGGAAAGACACAACTCCTAAATATTACCGAAAGGAAAATACCTGGCTCAGATAACTGAAGCCAGCCCACCGTTTTTGCTGCTTTGGATAATGAACTATTTGGCATTAAAGTAATTCTTAAATAAT